TATTGTGGTGCGCTCAAACCGAGAGTATTAGTTATTAAAGATTATTGTTAATTAATGCTTGTAGTTAATGGCGTAAATATTGGAGCTCTTAGATTGAAGACTGCTGCGACGCCCTAGTATGTGAAAGAATTTACCATAGTAATACGTCTCTAACCGATTTGATTTAAAGATTCCGCGAATCATCTTTTACTTTCAACATTAAAGATTCGAAACGATCTCGATTGAAACAGTGTGTTTTAGAATTTTATTCCCGATTTTTTGCATCCATGATGAATTTTTTACTTGATCCATATATTCTCTAACCCTGTGCTTATATTGCTGTGTAGACTACAGTCTGCGCTGCGAGATAACTTCGTATAAGCGCGTTGCAGGGCATGCTTTGACAATAGTGCCTGTGTTACGTATGTAAATTGAGTCTGGAATTTTTCAAAATTGTTAGATGAATGAGATAGTTCGTTTACCGATGATGAAACTCCTATTACACGAAGATAATAAAGTGGACTCAGTGATAGTCCTGAGTTGGCTGGCCTATTGTTTTATGCTAAAGGCGGAGGTGTGCTCTCTCAAATCAAATTCTACTTCTTAAAAGTACCCAAAGTGTTGAATGTAAAAATTGCCTGCTGACCTTCAAGAAGCGGCATTGTGTTAAAGTATATAATGAGAAGTCTGGTAACGATCATCTGTTTCTTTTCAGCTATCTGACTTTGCATTGAGCAGTCCCAGCTCATATTCAGTTAGCGTTTTAGTAAGCGCCAGTAATGCTCTACCATCTGTTTATAACGAATTTTCAGAAGGGATTCTTTTTTTTTTGTTAAAAAATGGTCATTTGTTTCAGGTTCTTTCGGTATTTGAATGTCCTGTGTGTTTGGAGTATATGTTGCCACCATACCTGCAGTGTCAAGCTGGTCATCTAGTGTGCGGTAATTGTCGTCCTAAACTTCAATGCTGCCCAACTTGCAGAGGACCCACTCGTTTGTTTTTCTCCGTTTTCACCAACTGATCGATATTGAAATGTAGAGCAACATCTTTCAGCAAGCGTACGTAATCTCGGCCTTGAAAAAATTGCTAACACAGTTCGTTTTCCGTGTAAGTTTGCATCGTCTGGTTGTCCACATGTCTTCTATCACTTTGACAAAGTTGAGCACGAGGAGATTTGCGAATGCCGGTATGTTGTTTTATTTATGACTTAGTTCTTTCCTCTTGCAACATCATTTATGAGTATTCCTTTTGTTACAGACCTTATAGCTGTCCGTGTCCAGGCGCTGCTTGCAAATGGCAGGGGGCATTAAACGATGTTATGGATCATCTGAAAAAGGTGCACAAAAGTATAACTACTCTCCAAGGTTTGAAACTTCAAGCAGTTATTTTTGCTGTAGTGATTGTCAGCTTGTTTTAAGGAGAAGATATTGTATTTCTCGCAACTGATATCAACTTGCCCGGTGCTGTAGATTGGGTTATGATGCAAAGCTGTTTTGGGTATAATTTTATGCTCGTGTTAGGTAAATTTTT